TAGTAGTAGTAGTAGCAGTGGTCGTAGTAGTCGTCGCAGTCGGAGTAGCAGTAGTGGTGGTAGTGGTAGAAGTAGTAGTAGTAGCCGTAGTAGTCGTAGTAGTAGTAGTAGTAGTAGTAGTAGTAGTAGTAGTAGTAGTAGTAGTAGTCGTAGTAGTAGTAGTGGTAGTAGTAGTAGTAGTAGTAGTAGTAGTAGTCGTAGTCGTAGCCGTAGCCGTAGTAGTATTAGTAGTAGTAGTCGCAGTAGTAATAGTAGTAGTAGTAGTAGTGGTAGTAGTAGTCGTAGTAGTAGTCGTGCAACTAGCCGCTGTAGTCGTAGTCGTAGTAGTAGCAGCAGTAGTAGTATATTCGTAGCAGTAGTAGTAGTAGTAGTCGTAGTCGTAGTAGTAACAGTAGCAGCCGTGGTAGTAGTCGTAGTAGTAGTAGTAGTGGGAGTAGTAGGAGTAGTAGTAGTAGTAGTAGTAGTAGTAGTAGTAGTAGTAGTAGTAGTAGTAGTAGTCGTAGTAGTAGTACTAGTACCAGTACTAGTACTAGTAGTCGAGTAGACGTAGTAGTATTAGTGATACCAGTAGTAACCGTAGTAGTAGTCGTGGTAGTAGTAGTAGTAGTCGTAGTAGTAGTAGTAGTAGAAGTAGTAGTAGTATTCGTAGTTGTAGTCGTATTGATAGTAGTAGTGCGTAGCTGTCGTAGTTGTCGTAGTAGTAGTAGTAGTAGTAGTAATAGTAGTAGTAGTAGTAGTAGTAGTAGTAGTAGTAGTAGTAGTAGTAGTAGTAGTACGAGTTTAGTAGTAGCACTAGTAGTAGTAGTCGTAGTAGTAGTATTAGTAGTAGTAGTAGTAGTAGTCGTCGCCGTAGTCAGAATAGTTGTTGCAGTCTTTCGTTGTAGTCGTAGTCGTAGACGTAGTAGTAGTCGTAGCAGTAGTAGAAGTAGTAGTAGTAGTAGTAGTAGTCGTAGTAGTAGTAGTAGCAGTCGTAGTCGTAGTAGTAGTTGTCGTAGTAGTAGTAGTAGTAGTAATAGTCGTAATATTTGTAATGAAAGTAGTAGTCGTAGTAGTAGCAGTAGTACTCGTAGTCGTAGTAGTAGGAGTCGTAGTAGTAGTAGTAGTAGTAGTAGTAGCAGTCGCAGTAGTAGTAGTAGTAGTAGTAGTAGTAGTAGTAGTAGTAGTAGTAGTAGTAGTAATCGTAGCAGTCGTACTAGTAGTAGTAGTAGTAGTAGTAGAAGTAGTAGTCGTAGTCGTAGTAGTAGTAGTAGTAGTAGTAGTAGTAGTAGTGGTAGAAAAAGAAGTCGTTGTAGTAGTAGTAGTAGCCTTAGTAGTCGTAGTCGTAGTTGCAGTCGTAGTCGTAGTCGTAGTCGTAGTCGTAGTCGTAGTAGTAGTAGTAGTAGTAGTAGTAGTAGTAGTAGTAGTAGTAGTAGTAGAAGTAGAAGTAGAAGTAGAAGAAGGAGTAGTAGTAGTAGTAGTAGCAGCAGTAGTAGTGTTATTATTAGTAGTAGTACTTTTGATAGTAGTAGTCAAAATAGTAGTGGTAGTAGTAGTGGCAGCAGCAGTAGTAGTCGTAATTGTCGCAGTAGTCGTAGTAGTCGTAGTAGTAGTAGTAGTAGTAGTAGTAGTAGTAGTAGTTAGTAGTAGTAGTAGTAGTAGTAGTAGTAGTAGTAGTAGTAGTTATAGTAGTAGTAGTGGTAGTAGTAGTAGTAGTAGTCGTAGTAGTAGTAGTAGTCGTAAGTAGTCGTAGTAGTCGTAGTAGTAGTAGTAGTGTCGTAGTCGTAGGTAGTAGTAGTAGTATAGTCGTGTCGTAGTCGTAGTAATAGTAGTAGTGTAGTATAGTCGTAGTCGTAGTAGTGTAGTAGTAGTTTAGTAGTAGTAGTAGTAGTAGTAGTAGTAGTATAGTAGTGAAGTAGTAGTAGTAGTAGTAGTCGTAGTCGTAGTAGTAGTAGTAGTAGGTAGTAGTAGTAAGTAGTAGGAGTCGTAGTTCGTAGTAGTAGTCGTATAGTAGTAGTAGGTAGTAGTAGTAGTAGTAGTAGTAGTAAGTAGGAAAATCAGAATGAGGGAGGAGGGAGGAGGAGGAGTAGAGGAGGAGGAGGAGGAGGAGGAGGAAGAAGAGCAGGAGGAGGAGAAGGAGGAGGAGGTGGAGGATCAGGAAAAGGAGGATTCATGCTTGTTCGTTCCGTCGTGGTCTGGTTCGGTCTCGGGGTGCATGCTGGAGGCTCCTGGGGACCTCCCGAGGCTTCCCGGGGCCCTCCGGATATCCTCGGAGACCTCTGGAGGCATCGTGGGTCGCGGGCCAGTGCCCGCTGGCCTTGCGCGGATCCTCGCGGGGCGGGGCGCAGGAGTGAAGCAGGCGGTCGCGAGGGCGGGCGCGCGCAAGGAGGGCCCCGCAGCCTTTTGGCTTGGGGGGCTGGCTTTGGGCGGGGCTCGGAGGGGCTCGGCGCTGTGCGCCGCGCCGATCTTGGCGAGGGGCCCGGCCGAGGAGCTCAGTGCGCGGGCGCCCCCGCGCCCCTCGCAGCTGTGGGGCGCGGGGGCGCCCACGCGCTGAGCTCCCTGCCAGACGACCTGGCGCACCGGCATTACGTCGGGCCTGTCCCTCCACAGGGGGAATCTTCAAACATAGTTTCAAAATAGTCGGGGGACCATTTTTGGAGTATGTTTGGGCATCTTCTGATCTTTTTGGGTATCTTTAATTTTTCGTGCAACATCCCCCTGTATAGGGGGACAGGCCCGACCGAACACCAGCAGCAGCTGGGAGCCCCCCCGCCCAGAGAGAGAGTCGACGTGGCGCCTCTTGCCGGCGCGGGGCCGCCGGGAGTCCCGACCCTTGCCTCCGTCACCGAGCGCGTTCCGGTATGCTCGCAGGGTGCCTGCTCGCAAGCGTCCGAAACATGCACGTCTGCTTCGATGCAATTTCTCGCAGATCCCCCGCGGGGGGATCCAGGCCATTTGCGAGTAGTCACTTTGCGAGCAGTGTCTGGACGCCCGAAATGGGCACGGAAAGAATGGGTACAATGCCCAACAGCAGTTCCTGTTCATTTTGAACAGGATTCGCTGTTCACGCCGCCGCGGCCTGTGTCCATTCGAGACAGAAGGCCGCCTGCCCAACAGCGGCCGCTGTTGGTTTGGGACAACATTTGTTGTTGGGCATTGTACCCATTTTTTCCGTACCCATCCTGGGCGTCCAAATCGTGGAACGCGCTCGTCGACTTTGTCGGGGCTCGGGAGGCGGGGGTCCATGCAGACGGGGGGGCAGCCAGAGCGCCGGGTCTTCCAGGATCCTGCAGGGCCAGGGGCGCACTGACCCGGGCTGGGGTGCAGGGCCCTGCAGGGTCCTGCAGGATCCTGCCAGGCCTGACTGAACCCAGGTTTGCATTGATCAGGAGGGAAAGAAACACACACACACAATTAATCGTCGACCCCCTGGAAAATATGGGAAGGCATGGGAAAGTGTGTGTGTGTGTGGGGGGGGGGAAGACGAAAGCCCAGAAGATATGGGAAGATATGGGAAGCCCTGGGATTTGTGTGTCTTTATCTCTGTGTGTCCCTGGGCTCCTTCAAAATTGACCCGGGCCAGTGCGTCCCCGATGTTGCAGGGCTGGCTTCTCGCCCCGAGGCCCGGGCCGTCAAGGGCTGGGTCGAGAAGCTGCTCGGGGCCCGAGCCGTCTTCTGACGGCCCGGAGGCCCGGCGAGCAGGGCGCGCTTTCAGTCGGGCGTCGTGTCCCTCCACAGGAGGAATGTTCAAGGGAAAAATAGTCGGGGGACGATTTTTTTGAGTATTTGTGTTGGCTATTTTTGAGCATTTTTCCATATGTTTGAGGTTTCTTTCAAAATCCTCCTGCAGGGAGACATGCCCGACCTAAGGCTCGCTTCGATTCCTCAGGTTCGATTCGGTTCGATTTCGACCGCTTCCGATTCCGATCCGATTCGACTTCGGATTCCGAGCTGGATTCCGATTTCTCCATGGCGACTCACCCGATTTCCGCCGACTCGGCTTCTCTCAACTCAGCTGCCGGTTGCCGCCGACCCGACTCATCTCGATCGGCGATCCGACTCATTTCGATTCGATTCTGGGCTCTCGTCGGTGAGGGGCCCAGGGTGGCCGAACACGCGGCCCCGGCATCCCCTTTTTTGTTGTTGTTTTTTTATGTCCTTTTTCTTTATTTACCATTTATATATACATACATGTATATATACATATACATATATAAACATATATATAGCGTGTCTTCTTCATATATACAACCTCTAATATCTATATATATATGTATATATATACACATATAAATGTACATACATATATATATATATGTATACTTATCTGTATATATATAGAGAGAGAGGGAGATGTATGTAGAAATATGTGCAACATGTGCGGCGGCCCCAGGGGCCCCGACCCCTTCCCCCTGATCAGGGTAGCTCTTCGTCTCGTCTCCGCTTCTCGGCGGCCCCGGGGGCCGACCAATGCTGGGCTGCAGGGGCCGACATCGAGGCAGCACGCCCCGTTTTGGTGCGACGCTGCACGCGCCGTGCTCACAACGTCTCTGCCACCGTGCCAACTGCGTTGCGCGCTGGCTCAACGTATTGGCCCACACTGTTCTAGGTCTCCTGGATGGAGTCGGAGCTGATGGGGTCGGAGGGTCGCGCCGTATCGGCGATGCATCGGCGATGCGGCTCGATGTGGAGCCCGATTTGCTTCACGTCGACGTCGCCGATGCATCGCCGACGTCGGCGATGCATCGCTGGTGCATCGCAGATGCATCTCCGATGCATCTCCGTTGCATCGCTGATGTATCGACGATGCGGCGCTATCCTCCGATCCCATCTGCTCCGACCCCATCTAGGAGGTCTCTAATTGTGGCGAACGTATTGCGTCCCAGACCCCCTCGCGCCAGGACAAAGTCACGACGGGAGGTCTTTCACTATCTTCGGCCTCCGGGGGCCCTTACAGGGCCTCGGGACCGTCAAAAAACGACTCGGGATCAGAAGCCGGTCCCGGGGAATGGGCTCGGACCTCTAGTTCCCGCCGACGGGGCTGGCCGCGCCAGCACACTCGGGTGCGAACTCTTCCGCCGCTGAGTGGCCTTTTCTTCTCTTCCCCGCCCGCGGCCGCCTGCTCTGCCCTCGTCCTGCTCCGTGCATGCTGGCCAATTCGCTTTCTGGTGCCCCCCGTTTAGCTCTTTCGCTGGTTCAGCCAACTCTGCCTTGCCGCCGACTGAGAAGCGTTGGCTCAACGTATTGGCTCACGTTTTGGCGAACGTATCGCGTCAGACCTACGTTTTCAGTCTACGTGGTGAGCTCCATATCAATGCGCTACGCGTTGCGTGTTGCGTGTCGGGGCAGGTAAGCGCCCGTGCATCTTGCAAAGGTTAGATCGTCGGATATTTGGGTTTCGGGTCCTGGCTTGGGCTTCTGGCATCCGTTCGGGACAGGCCAATTACCCCCGGAGCGCCCTCCGACGCGGCGCAGCTGATGGTAACTACCCCGTGCCCCGAAAACCTTCGACCGTTCACGAAACCTGTGTGACAATCATCGACACTTCACAAAATCTTACAGTGGAAACCCATGCCCAGAAACATCCTGCTTGCCTCCAGGGTGCCCTGGGTTTCTTTGGTTTCGATGGTTATCTGCTGTGGACTGCCTGACGTTCCCACACCAAACATCAAAATGGACGTCCCGGGGTCTCAGGGTGTTGGGTTTCTTCGGGCTCCTGCTGTATCCCTAGACCCCCGACGCTATGCTTTTTTCCATGTTGCGACCCCCAGAGAGTCAGGAGGGAAAACACGCAGACACAATTAATCGTCGATTCCCCCGAAAATATTTGACAAGATGGGAAGTGGGGGGGGCAACAAAAACCCAGAACATGTGGGGAAATATGGGGGATCCTGTTATTTGTGGTGTCTATTTATTTGTGTGCCCCAGGGCCCCTTCACAGATGCACGGGACCCCTTCCCCGGGACCTCCTGCGTTCGAGGGCGAGAAGCCTCCGCGTTGTTTTTGCCAGCGCCATCGCAGGGGCGCGGGCTCCTCCCCGGGGGCGCCGCTGGCGCGCGTCGCGCCGGATGAGCGGCGCCGTGGCGTACGGCCTCGGCCTGGGCGGGTCGCCGCCGTCGCGGCTGCACCTGGACCGCCGCGGGGGATGCCAAGCGGACGGGGCGGGGCTGTGAGCTCAGACCCCTCGCGTTGTGAAGACATCACGACGAGAGGTTTTTCGCCATTTTCGGCCTCCAAGGGTCCCCACCGGGCCTCGGGGCCGTCAAAAAATTGCTCGGGATGAGAAGCCGGTCCCGGGGAATGGGTTCGGACCTTTGGGGGTCGCGTCACGAAATTAGCCCGGCGAAGGACCCAACCATATGTAGTTGTGAATACCGCAATTATGAATATCATCTTCGCCCGCGCTCCCTATGGGGCCACGAACCGTGTGAGGGGCGTGCCGACATGCGTGGCCGGGCACACAACGCGATCGAAGACGATAGGTCTGTGTGCGAAAGGCTGAGAGCGCGTGAGTCTGATTGTGGATGAGTCTTCGCGCGCGTGAGTCTGCATGCACAAATGTCGACGCCCATGTCGGCGCGCCTCTCACGAGGATCGCGCCCGCTTCCTTCCCGTTTTCTTCTCCCTCTTTGCCCGTGCACGCCCACGTCCAAGGCTGCGGGCGCGGCGCCGCACGGAGTCCCCGCGACGCACGCTGGTCGCCCCGAAGGGGTCCAGGCGACGCGCGCGGGTCGTCCGCTGCGCGGAGCAGAGAGCGAGCAGGCTGGCTCCCGCCTGGGATGCGCGGCCCGAAAGCGGCTTCAATACGTCGCATACGAAGAAAAGCTATCGTAAATCGAAAGTCGCCGCCATGCGAACTCCGCCACTGGGCCGCCACGCGCGTTCCGCCACGGAGACCTTAGGTGGAGCTCCTTCTGGGGACACGAAACGGTGTACTGGGTGGTGGATGACGCATGCGGGCGGTCCCACTGGGGCCTTCGGTGGAACCCTCTATGGGGCCACGAAGCGCTGTACTGGGTGGTGGATGACGCATGCGGGCGGTCCCACTGGGCCTTCGGTGGAGCCTTCTATGGGGCCACGAAGCGCTGTACTGGGTAGTGGGTTACGCATGCGGGCGGTCCCACTGGAGCCTTCGGTGGATATCCTTGTGGGGCCACGAAGTGATGTGCTGGGTGGTGGATGACGCACGCGGGCGGTCCCACTTGGGCCTTCGGTGGAGTTCCCTATCGGGCCACGAAGCGCTGTACTGGGTGGTGCATGACGCATGCGGGCGGTCCCGCTGGGGCTTTCGGTGGAGCTCCCCATGGGGTCACGAAGCGTTGTACTGGGTGGTGGATGACGCACGCGGGCGGTCCCACTGGGGCCTCCGGTGGAGCCCCCTATGGGGCCACGAAGCGTTGTACTGGGTGGTGGATGACACACGCGGGCGGTCCCACTTGGGCCTTCGGTGGGGCTCTGTATGGGGCCGCGAAACGTTGCACTGGGTGGTGGATGACGCACGCGGGCGGTCCTACTGGAGTTTTCGGTGGAGCTCCCTACGGAGCCACGAAGTGTTGTGCTGGGTGGTGGATGACGCACGCGGGCGGTCCCACTGGGGCCTTCGGTGGAGCTCCCTTATGGGGCCACGAAGCGGTGTGCTGGGTGGTGGATGCCGCGGTCCCACTGGGGCCTTCGGTGGAGCTCCTTATGGGACCACGAAGCGCTGCTGTACTGGGTGGTGGATGACGCATGCGGGCGGTCCCACTGGAACCTTCGGTGGGGCTCTGTGTGGGGCCACGACGTGTTGTGTTGGGTGGTGGGTGACGCATGCGGGCGGTCCCACTGGGGCCTTCGGTGGAGCTCCCGATGGGGCCACGAAGCGAGGGGGGAACGGGAGGAGGACTCTTCAAAACCAGGACCCAACAACACAGGTTGGTTGGGAAAAATCATGACGTCGGGGGTCTGGGAGCGCCCCAGGTCCAGGCGTTGCAATTCTTTCGCACCGGGCGTTTTCGCCCGCTTTCGGGCCCCGGGACCTTCGCATATCGATCCGGGTCGAGAACTGCTGCAGACGTGGCCTGGGGTGCCGGTCGTGTTTTTTGCGATGCTGCGTCTTCCGGCAACGTCGGGCGTGAGGGCGGATGCGTGGGCTGTCTCCGGCCTGCTGTCAGGAACGTCTGCGGAGCGCGTTGCGCCGCCATTTCTGGCCAGCAGCGTGTGGCGCCGCCAGCTCTGGCCCACCACGCTTCGGCGCGGCACGCCAACCACGCCCCGGTCCCCAGGCGTCGGCGTCTCCCCCGCCCCACGCAGCGGAGCCATAGGCCATCAGCCACTGCAAGGCACAGCGTGTCGCCGCCAGGGCCCTCGGCAAGCAGCGCTATCGCGCTCAGAGGTCGGCAAGCAATGCTGCGCCAGGAACCACATGGAGTCCTTATTTTGGAAGGTGGGGACGGGCGTGATCTGCCAATTGTAGATCAAATGTGGACAAACACGCGCACAACAAAACCAACCATTCATTGCACCAGTTAGCACCTGTTTTCCGAGACCAGCGCAGACGTCGCTTGATTTTTTCGATGCGCGGTCCGCGGAAGTCCCGGCCCTGTCCCCGGGGCCAGTTTCTCGTCCCGAGTTGCTTTTGGGACCATCTTGGGGCCCAGCGAGAGGCCCAGGTGGCGGAATATC